CCTTCCCTGGCATTGGTCTGTGCATGTTTATGGATCAGTTATTGATCTGAATTTGGCAGGGTAGGGAGTGGGGATCATTTACAGCACAGTGAAGAGCATTTTGGCTCTGGTTGCACATTTCAGACTGGAGGCAAGTGCCTTATCTCCTCCTTTGTCTCATCCACTTCTGATCCCTTGTCAGTTATTTTAACATCCTTTGTATGCCACCTGACCCCTCATTTGGAAGCTCTTTGAATCAGGTATTGGATTTGCTATTCAGTGTCCATTTGGCATTGCAGCAGAAATCAAACTGTAATTAATAAACAGAAGGAGGAAGTGCTTCTGTAGGGCTAGGGCACCAGAGGATGCTTGGGCAAAGACAGCACACCCAACACCCAGCTGCTCTCCCAAAAGCCAGGAGATTTTGGCACGAAATGAGGCACAGACTGTGCTTCAAGGGACTCTTATTCTCTGTGAGCAAGAGCAAGAGCTGTTGGGAGGCAGGGAGGAAAAGGAAAAAGGCTTTTATGAGGTCCAGCAGTAGAAACCAACTCTGCTGCATGGCATCCCATCTTCTCCAGCAGACCTGTCCACATTTAATGGGTTTGCTGAATATTCCTGTAATTTCAGCAGCTAAGAGCTGCTGCTGGAGCAGATGGGGCAGGGGATGCAGGAGGCTCATGAGGCTGTGCCCTCACTGGGGTGAGGATGTGCCAGCCCTGGGCACACTGCACATGGTGTCAGTGCCTCGTGGCAGGACGGGGCCCTGCTGGCACTCCCTGCTGCATTTTGGGGATACCCACAATGCCAGGGGGATCTTGGCTCCAGGAGAGCCAGCAGCAGCAGGGGGAGGAGTGGGGACACATCCTGCACATCATCCACGTGGCCCTCGCCAGGGTGAAAGCCAAGGGCAGGATGGAGGTGCACTTTTCACACAGGGTTTGGCTCTGCTGCCTCTGCAAGGGCTGAGCAGCACAACAGCAGATTGTAGAGGGACACAGGGCCCTGTAACTCTATCAGCTTTGATCAATTTTTCACTCGAGTTGGGAATACACCAGAGAGCGTGTCAGCGTGCTTTATGGAGGGCTGCAAGTGCCTTCCATGGCTAATCCATAAAATGGGTTCCTGGAAAACAGACATTCTGTTGTCACCATGAGGAGACTACTAAGCAGTGGGGAAAAAGCACAGAAGAGGAATAGCAGGAATCTGCAGTGCCTGCTGAAGCTGCTGGGAATGCCCTGGCAGGGATGGTGGCCAGGTGTCCCCAGCCAGGGAGGGCAGGGACACGGGCCCTGCTGCCATCCCAGTGCTCCTTCAGCCCTGGCCCTGCAACCTCCTCACCCTCTGGCCCAGGAAAAGCAACTGCCCTTCTGCTCATGCTTAATGAAGTGCAGCAATCTGGTTTTAGCAATTAGTGGAGATGCAGTGGAAAACACCAAACAGTCCCCAGTGCTTCTGTTCTCCCAGCCCTTAAAACACTGATTGCCATGAACTGGCAGCATTACCTCCATATTTAGAGGATATGGAGTAGGAAAGGCATTTATTTTGATAACATTTGAATTGTTCTCCCACTTTTCTGAATGCATTGTTATGATACAAGATTAATTTGCTTTCAGAGTATTTACCAGAGCTTTTTTTTCTCAGACTCCCAAAGACATCCTGATACCCACTCTCCCTCCCTGCCAACCTATGAATTTTCAATTAATGAAATTGCTCTGAAATTAATCAATTTTTGGATTTCTTTCAAAGCATTTTCTGTGTTTTGAAGCCTGGAGTGCATTTTGGGTACCTTAGCATACTCCCAAAGCTGGAATTTTGCTGTTAAATATTTGCTAGAAGAGTTTTTTCCCCCCACATCTCACTTGACTTTAGGAGCTGGGAATTAATATAAGCACCAAATATCCTGACACTTGAGATAAAACTCTGTTACTTGAGATAAAACTCTCTTACTTGAGTAAGAGTGGGTGCTCACTGCAGAAGGCCAAGGTGACTGGAGGTCAGAGCTGACAATTACTGTAGGACTGGAGCCCTTTTCACTGCCCCAGCACTTCTGATGCTTTGCACAGACTCCTGCAGCCTGAATGTGCTCCTGGGGCACCTCTGTGCAGAGCTCCTGTCCTGGAGAGCAGGGCTGATCCTGCCTACACCTCTGCCAAACCCATTCTCCTGATTTTGTCCTGCTTATTCTTAGGACAACTGTGGATTTCAAAAGAGGAGAAACAAACAAACAAAAAAAATTACTGAGAGATTTGACTACTGAGGCAATCTCCTGGCTTTTTCCCACAGTTAACTGCTCCAAAGTATGGACATTTTCAGAGATTACCAGTTTGCTGAATACCATTTTCTCCCCTGTGTTCAATCTCAAGTACCTTTTCTTTCCACAGCCTATAAAAGAAGACTAATCCACAAACTGAAAGGCAAACGCTTTACTCTTCCTAAGTCTTGGTGCAGGGAGTAATATTCAGCAAGAAGCAATTGCACCATAACTGCTGCCCGAGGCCTGATCCCTACAGGATGAGAACTCAGCGAGTGAGAAGTTTCCAAATGACCTCTGTCAGCTCCTAAAGAGAAAAAGGAAAGCCAGCAGCAGCCCCTGTGAGTGGGAAAGGCCAGCTCGAGCTCAGCGTGATGGGATCAGAGCATAGCAGAGAGCAGAAAAGTGTCCTTGCATCCCCATCTAGCGGCTTTGGGTAAAATAAATCTGTGGTACCTGGCTGGGACCTGCTCTCCTGTGCCACTGCAATCTGCTCGGTGGCAGACATGCACATTGCTAAACTCCATCTGCCAAAGCTGCTGCATTTGATCTGGTTCTGTAAATGCTCCTCAGGGTTTGAGAGATGACAGAACGCCAGTGGAAAAGAAGCTTTCAAAGAAGAGTGAATTTAGCTGAGGTTTCTCTTTTTAAGAGTGGGACAGACCAGAAAGATTCACAAAAATCAGACAAAGTCTGTGAAAGGTGAGCGTCCCCCACTGGGCTCATGCCTGCTCTTCCACTGCTTCTTCTCTCTGCTTCCCCATGGAAATGTGGCTCATCATCCTGTGTACATCCCAAGAGATATTCCAGTTTTGTAACATATTTTGGCCTGGCAGAGTGGCTTTTCCTAGGATGCTTTGGCTGCTCGGAGCATTCAGATCCCTTCAGTTCAGATGTGGTGTGTTGGCTGGGCTCAGCCTTGCTTTATCAGCAGGTGAGTAAAAATAATTTAAATTCTGATCCTTCATTTCCTGTCCCACTCAATTCATCCTCTTGAACTACAAAAACCTCTCAGGGACCAGTCTCCAGCCTTACTATTTGCACTGCTGACTTTGAGCTAGGGACAAAATCTGTTTGCTGGCAATTCCTCATGTTTTGGTACAGCAGGATTTGCAATACCCCTGTTTTGGAGAGCTGTTCCTGTTGGGTGTGTTTAATCCTGCTCATGCTGGACTCCCAGCACATGCTACTGGCAGCAGCACAGGTACAGCCAGAGAAATTTAAATTCCAAGTGTGTTTTCCTGGCTGAAGACGTGTGAGTTTTTGAGGGGTAAAAGGCACATTTTACCATATCTGTCTTGGCTCTCAGAGACATCTTTCTTGAATACTGGGTGGGTTGTAGAGCAAAGCTGGTCTTCACCTTGAATCAAAGAGCCTTTTTTGTAGGCAGCCACATTGGGCTTTCCCTCTGCCCTTACCTTGGCTCTGTAATTACAACTACATGAGTTATGACCTCTAGTCAAACGGGTTGGAAAGGGTAATTTTAAAAGGTCTGGAAGAGCTGTACCAGGATCCAGGCTTTAATACAGAGGCAGGAAATGCTGTGTTTAAAAAAAAAAAAAAAGCTCCAAGACATAGATACTTCAGGTTTTGTTGGAAGGTTGGACAGAAACATGTCTGGAGCCCAGCAGCAGTGAGGGCTGCTGCACCCAGAGAGGGATGGGCTCTGCTTCTGCAGTGCCTTTTTTTTTTCAGTATTTATCAGAAATTATGTTCTTCTTCCCATAGGAAAATATCCCATATAAACATATTTTAAAAAATAGCGTTGCTCAAATTCCAAAATCTACTGCTGCCTAGGATTAAAGGATTAAAGAAAAACAACATTTCTTCCCTTAATTAGAAATCTTGTTGTTAACTGTCAGGAAAATGGGTGCTACAGAATTGCTGGCTGTCCTTCTCTCTACCAGGATTTGCTTGATGGAGAATAACATGTTTGTATGAAATATTTCACCTGGGAGAGTACAGAAACTGCAGCACTTGAGAGGATTAGTCTGGAAAACCGAAAATATCTAACTGATGAAAACATTTTCATTAAAACAGGAAGAGTTTTGCTCACAAGAAAATCAGAGTTACATTACCTGAGATTTAATTGATTGATCTAGGTGGATTTGGAAGAGTCTCAAAAAACAAAGCAGTAAACATGGAATCATACACTGATTTGGTTTGGAAGGGACCTTAAAAACCATTTAGTCCTAAACCTTCTGCCATCAACACTCTAAAAATGCCATGGACCTCCCCCTGACAATCATCAGCCTAGAAGCTGATTGCTATTTAGAAGGTAAATTCATGGAAATTTGATGTCAGTACCCAGGCTTTCCTGGCTGGAAGTGCAGGTCCAAGCTTGTTGTGGTGGGCTGATAGAGATGGAAAATGAGAGGGGCTCGGGGCCACGGGCCACACCAGCCTCAGACAGGCTTGTCCCGGGGAGAGTGGATGACCTATTTCTGCAGGATCAGCCCAAAACTGATCTCCAGAGCTGCAGAGTGTGGGAGGAAACACAGTGGCTTTGTTTTCCTCTCCTTGCAGCCCAGCTCTGCCTTCAGCCACTGACCAAAAATCAGCTTTTTCAGCTCGCACGGAAAACAGAGCTGAGAGCGGATTTAGTCACGAGCTGGGCAGAGCTGGACTGGCAGAGGGCACATCCTGCAGCAGCTGCCCACAATGTCCCGTTGTTGTGGGCAGAACAAAGGCTGCTCTTGGAGCCTAATGCCAGCTCAGGGCGGCACAGGGACACGGGGAGGGGGAGCAGCGCCCCGCGGGTGTACAAGGAGGCTCCCGAGGGTTGGCAGCTCCAGGCTGCGGGACGTTTCTCTGGGGAGGTACGGCTTCCTGAGGGACCTGGCTTGGGCATGGGGGGCTCAGGGGAGGTGTTGGGTGTCATAGTGACACTGGGACCAGGCAGAGGTGGCTGCGGGGACAGCGCTTGGGGCTCGGCTGGGAGGCTCCAGGTGCATCCACTGGTGCACGGTTGGTGTCTGGGGGATGGAATCTCTGGTGGGACTTATGGCTGTGTTTGAGGGTCCCAGGACAAGGGAAGAGATGAGGATCTCGACTCCATGTTTCAGAAGGCTGATTTATTAGGTTATGATATTATATCATATTAAAATGCTATACTAAAAAGAATAGAGAGAAAGGATCCTTCAGAAGGCAGGAAAAGAAAAAGGAAAGGAAAGGAAAGGAAAGGAAAGGAAAGGAAAGGAAAGGAAAGGAAAGGAAAGGAAAGGAAAGGAAAGGAAAGGATAAAGCATAAAATCTTGTGACTGCTCACAGCCTCGACACAGGTGGCTGTCATTGGTCATCAAGTAAAAACAATTTCACATGCTGGGTAAACAACTGTCCAAATCACATTCCAAAGAAGCAAAACATGGAGAAGCTGAAGTTTCCCATCTTCTCAGGAGAAAAGATCCTGGCAAAAGGATATTTCATAAAATATGTCTGTGACAGGGACTGATGAGGGATTGAATGAACTGATGTAAGATCACTGCCCAGGTGGTCACACCAGGAGCCAAAGGTGCACTTTAGACCTAGCCAAGAGGTTCTGGTCTTTCCTCGTCTGGAATATACTGAATATTTTGTTGAAGAGTAGCAATGTGGTTGTTTCTGGGTTAATGTGCTGCTGTGGACCTGCCTTGAGGTGGATAACTTAAATCCATCTGGAAGCTAAATCTAGTGCAAACCAAGGCAGGTCACTTGACGGTGAAGCATCTCCATCTGAGGTCCCTGGTCTAGGGGATCTGTGTGGGCCAGGAAGTTTTCTGGGGATCTCAGCAAGGTGGGAGGTTTTATCTGCTCAATCTATTCTACCAGAGGAGAACAGATTCTGGGAATTCTGGGAATTCAGGGAATGGGAGTGATGAGGATCCCAATGCTGCTTTGCCCACCAGTGTGCCTCACTTGGAAATATAAAGTCTTTAAATCTTTTCTTTTTTACATTCATGTCATTACATTTTAGGCAAAAGGAGCACCAGCCCTGTGGGAGAGGGTAGGGGAAAAATCCAGAGGCAAGTGCAGGGAGCACCCAGGATTTTCTGTATTTCGAACAGTGACCACTGCACCTTCGTGGGGACCTCCAGCCACTTCTGCCCTGGATAGATGTCCCCAGAAATGTTTCTTTGCTTTCTAATCCCTGCGGTTTAGCAAGCAGAGTGTGAGCAGGCTGGGCTCCTGCCCCCATCCTGGCTGCCTGTCCCCCCTGCCTTTCCTGAGGCAGGACAGGGGGTGCCAGGCTGCCGGGGCTGCTCGCTACAGGTTCTGCCACTATGCCCCATTTCCCCCGAGTCACAGACGGAAAAATGGCTTGCTCAGCTCTCCGGGCAGCCAGCGAGCTCCTCTGATCCCCGGGGAAGGCAGGGATCTCCCAGCGCATCCCCCATCCTCCAGGCAAGGATGCAGGAGAGCGTTCCCTCCTGCCCAGGGCGGCGAGCGGGAAGGAGACCAGGCTCAGACACATCAAAAACTGGACAGAAACAGCCCCGCTCGGCCCGGCTCACACCCTCAGCCACTGCCGCTCAGGCTCCGAGGGTTCGCAAGTGCCAAGGTGTCCCTGTGTGCTCTGCCCCGCTCCCTGAGGACACGGAGCTGCGAACGCCCGGCCCCGCTCCTGCCCCGGGGCTCGGGTTTCCCCCTGTCCCTGCCCCGGTGACGCTGCCTGTCCCCACAGGTCCGGCAGAGCCGAGCCGAGCCGTGCGGGGCCAGCCGGACATGCTGACCTGGCCCGGCTGAGGCAGCCCCCGCCCCGCTGCCGGGAATCGCAGCGTGTCCCGGGCTGGAAGCGAGCCGCGAGGAGCATCAGCCCAGCCCGAGCCCCGGCACGGCACCCACCCGGCATGGAGCCCGCTCCCGAGGGGAAGAGGTACGCGGGCTTGGGCAGGCAGCGGGATGGCGTTCCCGCCTGCCGTCTGTGCCACGGATGGGTGTGTGCGAGGTGGGAGGAGCAGCAGATGTGCCCGTGTCCTGGGAAGGATGGGGGCTAAGGGGGAGATATTTAGCCCCTCCACAGCCTAAGTTTAGCAGTAATGAAGTTTATGAGTTATTATTGCAATTTGTCTTCCTAGAGAAAACTTTTTCAAGTGAGAAGGCTGCATCACCTAAAGTAATAATAATAATGTGACTTCCCTGCAGCTGCTGTCCATGTTGCACCCAGCTCTGTTCATGGAGGGAAGAGGTTTAACCTTGCAAGCTCAGTCTTAGCTGGGAGCTACGGCAGGACCAGCTGCCCATGGCCATCCTGCTCCCTGGCAGTCCCTGCCTCGGTCCTGCTGTTGGGTGTTGGGGTCCTGGCGTAGGGCAGGACCAGCCCAAAATGTTATTTACAAATTTTAAGATCTGGTCTGGATTTTAACCAGATTTTAGAGGAAGTTCATTTGTTCCTGTTTCACCTTCCCAGCAACAAGTGTTAATCAGTCTCAGAATCTAACCCCTGCCAGGAGAAATGGCAAAAGTGTCAGTGGAAGAGATCTTGGCATCATCTGTGCTGGTGAATACTTGTGCTGAAGTCTGTCCAGGTCTCCTGGCAGGTCTCCTGGCATGGCTGGAAACACTTGACCTGTCAGAAATGGAATTAATGTCCAAAGCTGTTCCTCCCTGCACAGGAAAAGCCATGCTACCCTTCGGCATTTTAGTGGGAGATTTACTCTGAAAAGCACCTTGCTGGGTTCACCCAGCTGAGGGGACAAAATAACCCTCTGGGGGTTTTGATGGGCAGAGATAGAAGGGGTTGAGTGGAAATTGGAGGGAGTGGCCTGCAGCCAAGCTGGAGATGATGGAGGTGGGCTGGTTCTGGCCTCTTCCTGATGAGCTTCTGAGAGGTCTTTCCAGGGGAGAGGTGAGGTCAAGGTGGTGGAAGAGAGACCTTTGACATATCCCATGGACATGAGTTACATGACTTTGGCACTGAACTCAGATGAAATCAGCTGCTCTTGCAGGACTCTGAAAGTGCCCCAGTGTCTCAGACTTCTGGAACCTCTCAGTATTTTCTTGCCTTCCTTGACCAAAGCAGTGCAGTATTTGCATGTGGCCACTTCCTTGTCACATGGCCAGCATGGTCCTTACATATTTGTATCTCAAAGCCCCACTACAAACTCCCTTCTTTACTTTTCCACCTCCTGCCCTGTTTTTTTCTTCACTTGGGATTTTTTTCCTTGGCAGAGGAGACTATTGGGCTGGGATCTGCTATCTCAGACTGCTTGCCCTGAGGCATTTTCTAACAGCAAAGCCTTGGTGTGTCTAAACACATTATACAGGATATCACCCCTAAGACTTGCTGTGCATCTCGATACTGAAATGTGGTTACCCAGGAGGTGACTCTTCCCTTTGCACAGACAGCCTCATCCCAAGCCTGTCTTTGCAGAAGTGACGTCCTTGCATCCCTTCCTTTTTCCCTCACCCCTGTTTTATGTATGAGGCACATTGTCAAAGGAAAATGAAGAAAGGGAAATGTCAGTCTGATGCCTTCAGCTGCAATGACTGGTTGATGGTTCTGCAGGGGTATGAAAACTTCCACAGCACATCTCAGACAAACACTGGAGCAGTGGCCAGCTGTGGCTGCCCCATCCCTGGAAATGTCCAAGGCCAGTTTGGACAGGGTTTGGTGCAGCCTGGGATAGTGGAAAGTGTTCCTGCCATGGCAGGTGATTGGAATGAGATGAGCTTTGAGGTCCCTTCCAACCAAACTCTTTTATTGACTCTAGGATTCTAGGATTCTATGGCTATGATCAGCTACAAAGAAGTTTTGGCTTTCTCTAGTAAAAAAGAACAAAATAAATTATGGATTATCAGGAGAGGAAAGTTTGTCCTGGAGCATTTTCCCTTTGTTCTGCATTTTCAGTGCAGTTTCAAAAAAGCATACAGGTTCTTCAAATAACTGAAGTGCTATACTTTCCTTTCAGGAATAGTTTCCCCAGCATGAACTTTGAAGCAGAGATTCTGACAACACCACACGATAATTCAGGTATTTGGGAGAAAAAATAAAGAAAAAAAGAAATTAAAGTAAAATGCCCACTCAGGTTGCTATCACTACAAACATGTTTTAATTCTTTTGGAGTCAGAGGTTGTTTAAAAAAAAAAAAAAAAGAAGCAGGACGGTAAACTGACTGCAATTCAGGTGATTTCAGGTTTATGTTAGGGGAGAGTTCACAGTGTTGAGGATAGATATTGATGTGTTTCCCTCCAATAGGGCTACACCAGGAACACAGCTGCCGAGGAGATGTGCTTTTGGAAACAGCAGAGGCATTAAATTTGAGATTGCAGTGTCCTGGATGAGAACATACATGGTTCTCTTATTAGTGGTGACTAAAATCAGGTGATAAAAATGCAACTCCTTGAAAGGCAAAAATGAGGATGAAGCTATTCTGCCAAGTCCTGTCCTTCATCCTCATTTCATTTAAGAGGAATAGCTGATTTTTTTCCCCATTGAATGATGCCTTCCACCATTGATCTGAGACAGACCCAGCACAGCAGGGCATCTTTTCTTAGTCCTGCCATTGCTCCTCAGCCCTGAGCAGCTGGCCAGAGCCTGTGCCCTGGCAGCTGCCCTGTCTTTAGGATGGGACAGCAGGAAAAGGAGACTTTGCAATAATTGCTTGGAACCCCTTGAGTATCCCTGGGTTTTGGCTCAGAGAGAGAGATCTCGGTGTCAGTCACCCACATTTGAACAGGAGCCCAGTGAAATGTTTTGCCATCAGTTGCCCTCCTGGCCAGGAGCTGCAGGTCCCAGCAGGGAATTCCCCTTCCTGGCAGTCCATTTCAGCCCCCTGCTGTCCAGAGTCACAAGTGAGATGCACAGGATGGACTATTTTTGCTTCAGCTGCAGGTGGCAGTGTTTGTGTTGCATCATGCCTCCTGGGAGGTGTGCCAGGAGCTGCCCCCCATCAGTCACACTGTCCAGCACGGGCACCAGGGATGGCCACAGGTTTGGACCCACCCTGTGACTCCCTTCACCTTTTTTTAGTCTTCCAGAAAACCTTTCCATTTCCATCCCTTGCAAACAGAGCTCCCCACATCTGGCTAAACATTTCAGAGACATTTTCCTCAGGCTGTCCTGTAATGATGAGTCACTTAGCAAACATGCTGATGTCAAAGGGTGCCCAAGAATAATTTTTGTAACCCTGAGTGTGAACAGGTTGGAAAGTGCATCCTCTGCATCGTTGTCCCAAATCCCTGGCTCCTGTTGGGTTAGGTTGGGTTTCTCCCATGAGGTAAGTGCCTCAAAGCCTCTAACATGCAACCCTTGTTTGTTTCCCAAGAGCTCTACATGATCCCTTCCATGAGGAGCCTCACGGCTGAGGAGTATGTGGAGGCCTTTAAGTCATTCTTGGAGCACTCAACAGAGCACCAGTGCATGGATGAGTTCAACAGGGAACAAATGCCCACCATCGTGGCTGGGTAAGGAGCACGTCCCCCAAGGTGGGAAAGCTATCTGTCATCCTGGGAGTCAGCAAAAACTTCTAAGGATTTTTTTGGGGCAGGAATGAACTTTAAATGCTTTTCAGTTTTAAGTCCCCTACAAGTGGTTTTTAGGATATTCTGTTTAATGACTTCAGAGTATGTGCTGTTTCAATTAATACACTGTGCTGCCTCAGCTTATGTTAAGGAAAGACTCAAGACCTCATTCTCATGTCCATCTCTTTGCATTAGCTGCTTTTCCCAGGATTAAAGTTGGGGTTTTTTGGTTTTTTGGGTTTTTTTTTTTTTTTTTTTTTTCCTGAAAGAAAGCTCTCTTTTGCTCTCTCCCTGCTTTTGGGACTTCATCACATCCATCCAAAAAACACATCTCTAATTCTCTCCTAGTGGCTAATTTGTGGTTTTCCAGTCCCCTAAGACCTTCTTATTCCTATCCTCAGTCAATTTGCATTGCTTAAGTACCAAATGACAATCAGTTTTGTAAAGTATTGATTTAATATCTTAAGGCTGGATAACTGCAGACAGCTTCAGAACAGCCTAGATCCAAAGCACAAGAAAGTCCTTTCAAATCTGGGTAATTTTTGACGTTATAGGAACTGTATTTTTCCCATTGAGAAAAAAAGGTTAGGCAGGCAAATTTTTATTCTACAGATCAGATATATATAAAATATAATATTAACTTATTAGTTATAATAATAATTAATAATAATAGTAGAAATAATATATCTCGAATGATAATCAAATATTATGTTAAAACATTTAAATTGTGAATTTAAATAATGGACAAAATTGTGGCTTTCCATGATGCTGATTTTGGGTCTGTCAAAGAGTCTTGACCCTCATTAGGGCTAAGGCCCCTGGACTTGCTCACACCCTTCAGGACGTGCTACTCATCCATCTCCTGTGGAATCATTACTGTGGTGCCTCCTGAGTGCTTGGGTATTCTGCTAGGAAGCATGTGACTGGAGTAATTTAATAAGCAATTCTTCTAAGGTAAAAAAATTATTGACAATTCAGACCCTCCTCCCAATTTCAATCCAAGATTAATGTTGATAAGAGATGATTTCCAGTCACCTGGATAGACTCATGGTTTTGTTTTTTCTGGGTATTTATATCCAATATTCCCTCCTGAGGCTGCTGAGGTTTTTCCCAGCTCACCTTGTCCCTGCTTCCCCAGCAGTGCCATCCCAGTCAGGGACAGCCCCTTTTCCCTGGGCTTCCCAGAGGCTTTTTTTGCCAGCCACAACCTGAAGAAATCTCCTTGGCAAAGGGTGAGAAACTCTGCACCATGGTGCCTACTGTACTTTGAAATATGAGCTGGTTGAGCCATTGGTTATCACCAGGCTCAAAAGGGGTGACCAAATTTCTGTCCCAATTCATGTGCATAACATGAAAATATCCACGCTGAGGTGTCATCCAAGGTGTAAGAATGAAAGCATGAAGGGGTGTGACACAGTGTGGGTAAGTAATTTTATTTATATGTGTATATGTGTATTTATCCTTTCAGTCTGGGTGCTGGAAAATCGACCCTCAGCGTTCTGGGAGTTGGGAGTGGCACAGGTGAGGAGTGTGGGGATGGGGCACGGGGGGAAGGAGACACAGGAAAATTGGGCACTGAGGATACTCATAGACATTAATGGCAGCATTTCCCACTGAAGTACAGAAGGGCAGAAGGAAGAGTGGAGCTGGGATAAGAGGAGTGCTCCTTCCATTCCTTCCCTCTCCATCTCCCTTCTGAAAGACTGCTGCTCAGATCTTTCTGGGCAGTGAGAAATGTGTGATTTTTAGCTTAGTTTCTGCCTCTTGGTGACACTTACCTCACTTTATTTGCTTCAAAGCAAGGACTCCTCCTTCTGCTTAGGTACAAGCGCATCTTCAAACCTTGTTGGAGAGAATTAGAGACATTGGAGAAATTCTTTCCACCCAAAATCCTGCCTTAGACTATCCTCCCTGAAGGGATGTCTCCTTTTGCTTTGCTTTTAGGGATCCCAGAGGCCAAGGCTGGGCAGTGCCCTGCTCTCAGTAGTGAAAAACCACCTGGCCACAACCATTAGCTGATGCAAAGCTGCATCAGCTTTTTCAAGACGTGTTTCTTTGTTACTGCTGTGTTTTTACCCAGTGATAAGAAGGGTTTAACTGCAAATGATATTTTTCCCCAGAGAGAAACCCATCCTTTGGAAAAATAGCTTTAAAGTTGTTCTAAATGCATTTGTGTTTAAAAAAAGCCAAAACAACAAAACAAAAAAAGTGGTGAACAGCCAACTTTGCTCCTAGGGAAACTGGGATTTTTTTGGGGCAGGAATGAACTTTAAATGCTTTTCAGTTTTAAGTCCCCTACAAGTGGTTTTTAGGATATTCTGTTTAATGACTTCAGAGTATGTGCTGTTTCAATTAATACACTGTGCTGCCCCAGCTTATGTTAAGGAAAGACTCAAGACCTCATTTTCATGTCCATCTCTTTGCATTAAAAGCCAAAACAACAAAACAAAAAAAGTGGTGAACAGCCAACTTTGCTCCTAGGGAAACTGGGAGAAAATAAAGAGTAGAGAAAAGAAGCGGTGGTTTGATTTGTCAGAGTTGAAAAGTATTTTCAGCTGAATTTTAAGTGCTAATACTTTCAAGTGAAAGCATTTTTCTCACTTTTTTTGGTTTTGTTTTCCTGAGTAAGAGAAAATTAGCATTTGATTGTTTTCCCCAGCTGGGAATATGTTGGAGCATATGAGAAACCAAGCAGGAAGAAATGATTCAGTTCTCAATTACCCTCTATTTTCATTAAGTAATATAAAACAGAAATTCTGACTCCACAAAAGCACAAGGGGGAAATGAACTTTTAGCATCGTCCTTAATTTTCCTTATGTCCTCTTCAGAGGAGGTTTTAATGGAAAAATAAACCCTCTAAAATTTCCTGTGCTTCCTGGGTGAGTGCCCCTCACAGATGCCAGGACAGGGGTCCAGACCTGGACTCCCCACCCCCAGCTTGCCCATGTCTGCAAGAGCTGGGGCTGGGCAGGGAGTGAGCTGGGATGGCACAGAGTAAAAGGTTATATCTGATCCCTGACCTTTTCAGAGGTGGACTCTGGTTTCACAGAGCCCCCAGAATTAGTTTAGTTGATGAAAATATTAACAGGGATTAGTGGCCGAATCACATCCTGAAAGCTTCTGTTATGTTCCAAATCACGTTTTATCACTCACCCCATGTTTGCTCATGGCTAGTTGAACTCTGAGCTGGAACTTTCCAGTTGCAGAGAGGTTCCAGTCCTGTCCCAGCCTTGCTGTGGGCAGTGCTGGAGGGTTGCTGCTGGCAGGGAAAGCTGCAGCAGAGAAATTCCTGCCCTAGAGTGCTGTTATTTTATTGCTTGTTTTTACAGACAGCCTGGTTGAAGATGTTATTACCTGCTCTTGCAAACACTGCATTAAGGAATTTTACAGAGGTGGAGTGAAAAAAACTCCAAACTTCAGCAGCTTTTAAGACATCCACCTGCTGTTAATGTCACATTTGCCTCCATCAGTGCCTCCAGGGCATGGGGCAATGATGCTCTGCCTCTGGCCCTGCCCCAAGCCTGCAGGCAGCACTAAGGGCTGCTGCTCCCCGAGCCAGGCACTTACACACTGGCATCTAGGACTGTCACAAATGATCCAGCTGCTTGCTATTAGGATCTGCCTTCCTGTCAGCAGTGTTGGTCCCTGTACCTTCAATGGATGCAGCCTCAGCCTCCTCCCTTGAGCCTTTGGCCAGCCCTGCCCTGCTGCCACTGCATTCCTCACGGGCCTGGGGTATTTTTAATCCAATTTCAAAGGACTCCTCCTTCCTCGGATGTCCCAGTAGTGCTGGCATGGCTGATATTTCCTTCCCTGAATTCTGTGTACTGCAGCACCTGCCAAGGATGACAGCTCTTCCCGTGGCTGGTACATCAGCTGAAAGAGCAGGGAGGATGCAGGATCTCCTGTCAAGACCTCTCTGTGTGACATTTGCAAGGCCAGGGCTATTTTTAGGCCCCACCATCAGATACAGAGGATTCTTGCAGAGGTCTCATCAAGGTGGTCACATCTGCTGTTTATTTACATGGTTTGAAGAGATCCAGGGGCACTCATACACTTGGCATTTCTGGGAAGTAAGCACCATGTCCTGTATCACTTCAGAAGAGGCTGGAAATTTTCTAGAACAGGAGGACAGACGGCTGCTTGCTCCTCCAGAGCTCACACAGCAGCACCAATAGCTAAATTTGCAGGGCACTTCCACACAAATATGTGAGTCTCTACCTGTATTTCCAAGATAACCATCAGTTAATTGGTGCCCTGGCCTGAGACCATGTGGAGAATCCCCAAAGAGGGAGGATCCAGGATACTGCACGTCAGTGGATCTTTTCTCTTGTGCTGCAGTTCCCAGGTGCTGGGGCTGTGTCGCAGCAGCCACTGTGTCCCTGTGGCAGCCCCAAAGCTGTGGGCCACCCCATGCAGCTGTGTCAGCTGCCTCCTTGCACCCATTCAAACTTTGTGGTGTTGTTGAAACCTGTTTCATGGTTATTTTTGTAAACAGTGAGCCGTGATTCTTGTGGCCTGTCTGTCTCACAACCCAGGGTATTGCCATTAGCAGGTTTCTGTGCTGCTGCTTGTCTCTGCCTTGTTCTCAGGCTGCTCTGTACCCCTCTGTCAGCCTGAGCAGTACAGTAGCATGGCAGGAGTGTCACCAGGCTGTGCCACCACATGAGCCACAAAGAAGAACATGGCTCACTCCTGCTGGGGGATTTTCTGCTGCTGCACTGGCATCCTTCCATTGCATTTACCTGCTTTCTAAAATAGTGAATTTGTGTTTATTGAATAGGTGAGCAGGATTTGAAAATGATCAGAATACTGCAGGCTGTGCACCCAGGGGTCTTTATTGACAATGAGATTGTGGAGCCCAACCCACAGCACGTGGCAGCTTACAAAGGTAAGGCTACACCTGCTGCCTGGGTTATAGCAAGGACCAGCCATCTGAATGATGAGTTTTTCTGCTGTTTTATGAAATTCAGGGTTTTCTTCTACTTTTTGAAACAGAGCTGGTGAATCAAGCTCCAGACCTGCAGAATGTTTCTTTTATTTGGCACCAGCTCACTTCCTTGGAGTATGAACAGCAGGTGAAGGAGAGAGGCACACATAAGAAATTTGACTTCATCCATATGATCCAGGTAATGGCCATTTCTTTAACACAGGACTATTGGATTTAACTACCCCCTTCAGTTCTGCTCTATGCTTGGATTTATGACCAGAGCTGAGCACTGCTCTCCCACAGCAATTCTTCAGAAGCTCTACAAACACCAAAGCTGGCAATACTCAGTGCTGTGAGGTGTCCCTAAATGGGCATGTGGAATCAGGAAAGGCTGGCAAGCATCTGGAACAGAATTTAAAACACCTCTAAAAGAAAGGCTTTAAGCCTTTGGAGGGTCATTGCACTGTGGAGAAGGAATAATGGCTGTGTGTCACTGTCTCTTCTAGATGCTGTATCGTGTGGAGGATATTCCCAGTACTATCAAGTTTTTCCACAGCTGCCTCGACCATCATGGTAAACTCCTGATCATAATTTTGTCAGGTAAGGGAGACCTTGCAGTTTTTTGGGGTTTTTTTCTCCATTGCTGGAGTTTTGAAGAGCTTTCAAGTTTGAGAGCCACAAATATTTATCTAGTGATGTCAGTGGTGCTTATTCTATAGTAAATAACTAAAAAAAAATGCTGGATTTCATATGGAGAATGCAATTTTGGGCTTAGCCTTGGGCCCCAGTGTCTGATGGGGTCACTTAGGCACAGCCTTTGTGCTCTTGCTTCTCTGCTTGTGGAATTGATGTAGTAGAGAGAAGTGTGGCTGTCCATGAACGAGGGTCCATCCTTCCTCATGGTGAAATCAGCACTGTAAAAACACACCCTGAGCTCTGGGTGGACTCATCCTCAGGGCTCTTTGTACAGCAATGACCCACAGCCCAGAAGGACAGCAAATGCTGCTGAGAGCTGCAGACTTTATGGCAGGACAGGAGAAAAGAAGCACAACATGATGGCACTTCTTAAAAGAATTGAGTGTTTCATCCCTTGGTGCCGTTCATGAACCCCCAGCTCACGGTGTGGTGGAAAAAGCAAAAATTCCCATGTTCCCCATAAAAACTGCCTCTCACATTGCCTGTAGGCTGTTTCCTTGCTGTCTGAGGCTGCTTTTTGAGGTATGTCTTATTCAATGAGCACTAGTAACTGAGGTTTGATGTGATAACATCTGCACTGCTTTGGCCACGGCACAGTAAAGAGGCAGCACGAGATGTTCGGGCTCAGCACATTGGCACCTCTGTGTGACCCTTCCTCCTGAGCAAATTCAGTGCTGGAGCCATCTCCTAGGAGTTTTGTTTCAGTGGGGCAGTTTTTGAGGGAGGGCTGAGGGAAACCAGGGTTTTATGAGGCGCAGATATTTATAAGTAGTCTCGAGGAGGGGGAAAGCTCTCCTCCTGCCCTGTCAAGGCTGGGCCAGCAGCGAGGGAGCTTTCCAGCTCATTTCATAGTTGATTAGCTGGTGTTTGACTGCCTTGGCTTTGCCAAATCAAAACTATTACCAAGTATTACAAAGTATAAAAGCACACTACAACAATAATAACCTTCCCTGGTGGCCCTGCAGACAGCAGCGGCTGGGCCAGCCTGTGGAGGAAGCACAGGGACTGCCTGCCCGCCACCGACAGTGGCCACTACATCACCTGCAGCGGCATCACGGAGGTGCTGCAGGGGCTGGGGGTGCAGCACCGCGTCTACGAGCTGCCGTCGGGCTGGGACATCACCGAGTGCTTCACCGAGGGGGACGCGGTGGGCGGCCGCATGATGGATTTCCTGACGGGCACCAAGAACTTCCTGGGCACGGCCCCGGCGGCGCTGCGGCGGCGGCTGCGGGAGGCCCTGTGCCAGCCCGAGTGCAGCAGCACCAGGGACGGCAGGGTCATCTTCAGCAACAACCTCAGCATGATCGTCGTGGACTCCTAGAGCCCGCAGCCCGCCTGGAATTGTTTTTAACACCGTGCAGCCCGCCTGTGCTTTCGCTGGGACTTGCGCTGCTCTGTGGGGCCTGCGCGGCCTTGGCGGCCGGGGGTGGCAGCCCCTGGGCCGGCCCGGTACAGACCTGCTGCTCCACTGTGCCCGCGATGCCTTCTGTGCCAGCCGGGTCGCCAGAAACTGGTTCCGTGTGAAGGCTGGCCTAGAACAGAGACTAGACAGAGCTAAAGAATGAAGTAGGGATTTATTAGGAGGCCTCAATGGATCCACCTTGGGCAGCACAAGAGCCCAGCCAGGGCTGCACCCAAGGTGAACCAAAATGGTCCTAAAATGCACGAGCGCTCACAGGGTCTGTCACTGTGATCAGCTCTGCTCCATTTGCACATTGGAGTGAATTGCCAGTTATAGCTTTAGCCCATGAAGTCCCATCCTTCTTGTTTTTCTCTCTTCAGCCCACGTTGTTTGTGCTCTTGGGCCTGAGATTTGGATCATTTGTCCTTGGTCCCCAGCTAGAGAAGGAATTGTTTTGTCTGCCTCTCTCTGTGATGAGAGCTCACCATCCCCTAATCTGAAGCTCAAAAGTATACCCTAAAGCAGCACAGAATCTGAAAACTATAAAAGCTAAAACCTGAGGCATCACCAGGACAAAACCAGCAAGATGTCCCTGCTGCTTTGCGCCCAGGTAATGTCACTGCACCCAGGCCCGAGCTGTAAGTTGCTCTGCACTAGGCTATTTCACGTGGTTTTATTGGCATAGACATTTACTGCCCCAAGTCTCTCAGTGTCTCACAATATAGACATAAAGTCTTAAAAATTTAGTCTTAAAAATTTATCAGCCTTTTTGTTTGGAGAATATTTTGGAACCCAGGATGGTACTTGCCCTGTGCTCTTTCAGGCAGATATTAATTTTGTTACTTTCTTACTATTGTTTATCTCCATATAAAATAAAAGCAATCTTAAAACAAAAAAAAGTCACATCTGGTTCTGCACATGTGGGATTATAGAAAATGAAGCAAAGAGGTCATTGAGTTAAAAACCAAAAAATATGCAAAGTACCATTTTATGGAAGGCATTAAGGGTTTGTTGTGAGAGAGAAAGATGAGCCTGAGGATGTGGAAGAGCTGGGAGAGGGCTGCAGCTTGTCCTTGTGCCGCAGCCCTGGGAGGCAGCTTGGCTCTCTTGGAGCAGCATCACTGCAGCACAGCAAAACAGCACTAAAATGGGATGTATGTGGTTAAAATGTTAATGTAGGTAAGTTAAGACTATTTCCCAAGGACCCTGAGGTGTTCAGAGGGCTGAAGGAGGTGCTGCCAGGGCAGCCAGCTCCAAAGGGAGATGCCACTCAGGATGCCAGTGAGGTTTGGTTCTGCATTTGGCACCGTGGTGCTGTGCAGACCTTGGGGAAGCTGCCTGCAGTGCCAGCAGCCTCATTGCAAACAGCTCTGAGGGGGGAAAACCCAGCTCAGGTGGGAAATACGTGCAGGCACAGAAGCCATCTATCTCTGTATCTGGTTTTTCCCTGCTTAAACTGGTTAGGACACACCTGTGTGCACCTGGGGGTCTCAGGTGGAGGTGTGGTGTGGGTCAAATGGCTTCTTTCTGCACCATGAACAAGTGGGTGGTCACAATGGCTTGCAAGACATTCCATGTCACTGTCACCCAGAGTCCTGCTGATCCTGCTAAAACCGTCCCACCCCACCCAGCTGAATGCAGCTACTGCCAGGGGCAGCATCACCCTGAAAAGGTAACAAACCCATGAAGTCCTTGTGTCTCCACTCTGGTGTTTTTGGGTACTTTTTTAGGTTTGGGTTTTATCATATCTTTTTGAAATGCAGCCATTTCTCCTGAAACGGCTGTAACAGGAAAAATGAGCAAAACAGTGGGAAAACAGCAGCATGATATCATCTCCCTGGCAGGACTGAGGCACCCTGGCCTGCAAGTACTATTGCTGTCAGTTCCAGAAAGGTCAGTCAAACCTGGACAACCTCCTCCAGAGTACCCCATACCTGTGCACAAGCTTTTCCCTTTGATCCATCCTATTGTTTATTCCACAGGCATCCTCTTTGCTGGTGCTGGCTCCCAGCACTGGGCAGGGAGTGAGCAGCTGGGCTGCTGGACAGGATCTCAGCACTGCTCCCATCAGTGCTCTCCTTCCACTATGAATTCCCATGGTTTATTTCCAATCAGCAGTGGTTTCTCTGTCTCTGCCTGCTAGATTAAGAGGAAAAACAAAAGGTACCATAAAACAGGCTTGCTTTTCAAGCTTCAAAGAAAAATCTACCTGTTAGTCTTTGCAGAAATTTGGCACAATACAGGTTTGCCCAGATCTTCCCCAGCCCAAGATGTTTTCCACCCTTGCACAGACAGACACATTTCCAATAAGCAGATACTCAGCACTTATTTGTGAGCACAGAATTTGCCCACACCATTGTAAATCAATGTGCAAATGCTCAAAAAAAAGGAGCACTTCAAAGCAGATTGTTTAGTGACAGGCTGTGGAGATGAAAAAAAGGAGCACTTCAAAGCAGATTGTTTAGTGACAGGCTGTGGAGATGAAACAGGGCACCCCATTAAAAACACAGCTGATCAATGCTATATATGTATTTTTTCCTTTGATTCTTCAAAAGCAAGTAGTTTATCAACAACTCTGCTTGTACACCTGGAATAAATAGCATCCTAAGTGTCCCATTTGTTTGTACATTTATTCTTTGGTGAACGTGCTGTTTAATAACTGCTTGTTTTGCTTTCTAAAAGATGCTCTCCTCCCATGCAGAATTTCAGACTGTGCTTCCCCAGCAACAGGAGTATGGCCACGAGAGGGCTGCAGCAGCCAGCAGAATAAATCCACCTCAATCCACCTCCCAAAGCTCTGGAAATGCTGAGCTGAAGTAGCAGAACCAGACATTCAGGCAGACAAATGCATTCAGCTTGCTCTGCTGGCTCATCACACCCTGATCCCAGCAGTTGGGACCACACTTTTTCCTGCTGCAGTCATGGGCTCTGACTCTGGCCTCTGGTTTGTAAAAAAGTCACAATGGCACAGCACAGCTGCCACAAGGGATGCACAAAATCTGCTTTTGGGTTGGTTTTTTTTCTCCCACTCTATGGCTGGAGTGCTGCAGCTTGGCTGCCACAGAGCTCAGGTCTGCGGACAGGGACCCAGGAGTGACAGATCCAGGGAGGGAAACACCAGGAGGGGGATGGCAGGAGTGAGGGGCTGTTTCAGCCCTAGCTTTGAGCCATATTAACCCTGCTGAGCTCAGTCCAGGAGGAGCTGTGCTCCATAATGAGTTTCCTGGAAGTTCCCATTAGTGAGGAGCCAGCCTGTGTCTCCCAGAGGGAATTGTGATGCTCCATCAGCACCAGTTTGTTCCAGCCCAGGAAGAAGGCTTTTGTGGACAACCATGCAGTAGGCTGCCCTGTGCTCTCTGCAGCAGAATCAATGCCTGCAAAACCCAAACTGTGCAGTTTCACGTGGAGCAGTTGCAGATTTTTCCTGATTTCCAGTTCATAATATGCCCATTTCAATGCACAGCTCTGGTTGTGTTACAGTCCCCTAAAAAGGAGCTATAGAGAAAAGTCTTTACCACATCAAGGATGGATAATTTTAGTTTTACTGGGCCTATATGCAGTCTTGGGGGCTGAATGGTTTGCCTTTGAAGTGTTAAAGCTTCTCTACTCATGAATATCATCAGGGAAAGGAAGGTAGCATGGGAACTGCAAAATCTAGGAGCTGATTTCTGAATAATCTCATTAAAAAACAAGCTCAGTAAAATACTGGAGCATTTAGTAAAAAGATTATACTCAATCTCAATAGGGGGGAAAAATAAAGAGACTGAACTTTTTTCCCTCCCCCTTCAACATTTTCCTACAGAAATCTGTTGAGGCTTCTATCAGGCACGTAGGATTGTGCTCACATTTTTGGAGGTTATAAAGGCCTTCATAGGAATAATATGGACAGAGCTCTAGAAAGGTATTTATCATCCTGCTTTTTAAACTAAATATTTTTTTCAAGATCATGTCCTCCAGACTGAGGATGAATATCTAATCCAAGTCTGAAATATCTTTATTATTGAGCATCACTCCTTGTAGTCATTCCCCTCCCTTACTGAAGTATCAACAGAAAGTTAAATCTTGCTAAATGGTGAAAGTCCTCTTAGGCATAGAATGTGTTGTTTATTCCCCATTCTCCTTTAATTCCTTGTTAACAACAAATAAATAAATAAAGAAACAAATCCCTCCAAGATAAATGTTTGGAGTAGAACCTCCAGCTGGAAAGATCTGGTGCTGAGTAGGGTGTGTGGAACATGTGAGATGGCAGAATCCCAGTGGGGCTTTTCTTCTCATCTCTGAGAAGGAACAGGGAAGAGCAGAACAGGAGTTTCATTTCCACTCCCCACTTCTGATGACACGTTTGATTAGACGTGCCAGCAAATTGCTAGAGAAAACATATGTTTTGTCATACATTGTAGTGATGGTTCCTCTGGTGAATTCATAAGCGTGATAAGGAAATTTTCAGAGCAGTCTCTAAGTCCCTATTGCTTTGTTAACATTTTTTAGCATCCTATTAATCACTCTGTATGTATCTGTCAACAGCTGATATTATGGATTAAGGAAGATTACAGCTCATTGCTCCAGTGGCTGTTTTCTTTAGGATTTAACTCCACAGGCACTTTGCCATTCACCTCCCTCTGACAAAACCAGCCCCTTGCTTTTGCAAACACTTTGCAGTGCTTCTCTGACTAAGAGTGGGTTTTCTTAAAAAAGTATTAAAAGTGCTCATCCAGGAGGGAAACATTTTGATTTTATTATTTCTGGAAGAAGGGCTAACACACTTTCAGTGCTGAACAAAGAGTGAACAAGATCCTGATTTACAGAGGTTTCCATGCAGATTAATGTTGACTTTGTTTTGTCATGCTTGTGCAGATCATGTCACTTGTTATTTGGGGAAAGGGGATGTTATTTGAGGAAATTCAGAAAAAAGTTCTACAGGTTTATTACATTTAACTCATAGAGTTTCTCCATTGTTTACTATCAACTATAGGCCATTCTCTAGTTCTATGTATTTGTTATCCACTCTGGGATACAAAGAAATCCTTGTGACACCTATGATGCAGCAAAAAGCAGAATTAACACTGGAGAATCAAACAGCTCACCCATTAATTACCTTCAGACTGAAATTTATTCACCCAAACTTACTCCCTTGTGCCAGGACTTGTTTTTATACAGAAAAACAATAATGTCAGAAATACCAGTTTTGACCTAGACATTCTTCCTGAACTTAATGTTTACAGCTTGCCTCCAAGGCCTTATCATTCCT